CTGAGTAATAGTTTTGGAGTGCACTCCTGGACTCAAAGGCCATATTACAAAGTTGCTGAGACCTCCCTATATCTGTCTCTCGTCTTTCTTGGGTTTCTCTCTCTAGATCTCGCTCTTTTTGTTTTTGACTCTCCTTCCTAGCATTTTGTCTTTCTGGTTTGTTTATCTTTATTCATCTCACAAAATTGGTCAAATTTTTTTAATTTAATCAATGTGTTAGGCTACTTTGTTATAACAAAAATATCGTATACTGGATAATTTATAATACAAGTTTTATCTGCCATATTTGGAGCCTGGGAAGTCCCAGATCAAGCTGCCAGCAGATTTGGCATCTGACATAAATGACATCACTGTGTCCTCACATGGTGGGAGGAGCCAAGGGAGCTGGCTCTCCTTCTTTTAGGAAGGCACTAATCTTGTCCATGAGGTGTGCACCCTCATGGCTTAATGACTTCTTGCTGCTGTTTGTGAATGCATCTTCTCCAAAATTCCTGCATTTAAACTAAACAGTAACTATGATAGTATTAAGAGGCAAGGCCTTTAAGAGGTGATTAGGATGGCTGTTATAAAACAGGCTTCACATAACATTAACTCTCTATCTTCCCCTTCCCAGAATGCAATAGGTAGGCGCCATCTTGGATGCAGTCTGGGTCCCCACCAGACACCAATTTACCAGCACATCTATCTTGGAATCCCAGCTTCTGAAACTCTGAGAGATGAGTTTCTAGTCTATAAACTGCCTAATGGAGTAGACACTTCCCCGAACCCTCCATCTCTTAATTCTTCCACGAAGAAAGTTAGGTTTCAACCCGAATTTTGGAAGCACTCATTTAAACCATAGCAATAAATGAATAAAATTCACAACGGTGGAAGCCATAATCTGTAACACCTGATGTAAATGAAAGATATTCATACATCAAATCTTCTCTGCTAGATTTGGAAGAAAAATAATGATCCCAATTCAAATATTTAAAAAAATTGTGGAAAAAGTAATTTTAGCTGATGTAAGAGCATAGATCAAAAGATTAATTGGTTTAAAAGATCACTCAGGAAAATATTCACTGAGAGTAAGTTATTATCAATTTTTTCACAATTAGGATCAAAATTCGAGATATTTTTTATTTTTATATTTTTGCAGTACTTGAGATTGACCCCAAGGCCTTTCACATGCTGGGGAAACTCTACCACTGAGGTACACCTTTAGCCCAGGACACCTGTTAACTTTAATGTGCTCAGTGTCAACAGGGAAATCATAAATATAAAGTGGAAGTGTCAAAACTTAAAAGACAGTCTTTCCCTGTTTGGTCATTCTCATTTCTTTTAACTCATGAGCTTGAGAGAGATAGAGATAGAGATACTTTTCTTCCTGTTTTGTATATGCAACTGTGTCCTCCCTCCTCCTTTCCATTGATTTATTTTCTGCCTTTCCTTAAAAGCGTCTTCTCAGGAAACTCTCTATAATGATCTTGCTGTCTCATAAAATCAATAAAAAAGTAAATAAAGTAGGGTGTGAGGGATGGGACAAGATTGATCAATGGGTACTAAGTTGCAGTTAGGAATTAGAAATTTTATTGTACTACCACATAGCAGTGATTGTATACTTGCTGTGTATCTCAAAAATCTACAAGAAAGGATTTGGAATATTTTTACTATTTAGAATGGATAACTGTTGGAGGAGATGGAAATGTTTATCCTGATTACATAATTTATACCTCTATCAAAACATCCCATGGTTCCCCATGAATGTAGATATAGTTTTGTGTTTCTATGTATCAGCTAAAAGTTAAAAAAGTAATTTTTTGTTAATTAAATTCTTAAAATATTTTGTCTTGAGAGCATAATTTGAGTTATATACCAAATATTACCCATGTACTGTAGCATACGGATGTCTTCACTTGTACACCCATCACTGTAGACTTTTAGATAGATACTGAGTCCTATACACCAAGATTTGGCTGTGCCAATAAAAATTTGTTTTTATTTTTTATTTTTAAAAATTGTTTTCTTGGTACATTTTAGTTATACAGACGTTTACTTTATCATTGGGTGCTTGCACCTGTACCTTCCCCTGCCCTCCCTTCACCCCTCCACCCTTCCCTAGGTACATGAACTTCATTTCCATGTTTCTTTCTTTTCTCATCATTTTTCCTTTCCTTTCTTTCCTTTCCCCTTCCCTTCCGACCACCCCTACCCCTTTGGTCCCTTTCCCTGTTTCAAATTATCAATTTTTCATTTTAATCATTTTCATCCTTATTTACACTTTCAGTTTCTCAGACTGGAGAAACTATTCAGTATTTACACACATGTGTCCTATTTATTTCACTTAAGAGGATGGCCTCAATGTGCACCCACTGAGCCATAAATGTCTCTAGTTTCTCATTCTTTATGGCTGAGAAGTGCTCCATTTTATACACATCTTCTCTATGCAGTTTGCAGTTGTTGGGCACTTGGGCTGTTTCCAAGCTTTAGCTATTACAAACTTTCCCACTACAAACATGGGTGCACATATATCACTATGGTATGATTCTTTTAATACTTTTGGGAAGATACCCAGCAGGGGAATAGCTGGGTCAAATGGGACCTCCAGCCCTAGTTCTTTGAGGTATCTCCATACTGATTTCCACAGTGGTTGCACCAGTCTACACTCCCACCAGCAGTGGAGCAGGGTT